ACGGGTCTTAGCTCACCACTGTCTCTGTCCCAAGTAGTCCTCGATCTCTGGCTGACTGACGTCCACACGGAATCACCAAGGGCCCTGCAGTGCATCCTGTATTCCATCATACCAGCCTTCATCAAAAGCCAGTGGTGGGGGAAGGGAAGGCACTGGCCCTGAAAGCAGACCTGAGTTCAAATCTCACTTCGGGCACTCCTTGGCTATGCGATCATGGACAAGTCATTTGACCCCTTTGAGCCTCAGTTCTCTTAGCTGTAAAATGGGGATAATTCCTATAGTGCCTCACAGAGTTGTTAGGAGACTCAGATAAGATCATGTCTATAAAGGAGTTTGCCAACCCTAAAACTTATAGAAGGCTCAGCTCTAAGTATAATCTCCATATGGCACTCACAGCCAGGGGCTTCGACTTGGAGAGGAGCAGGTGGGGGCTGGGAGGATAGAATGCGGGAAGGCAGGACCCAAGAGTGGCACAGAAATAGCAGGCTGGAAGACTTCCTGATAAAGAATCATGCCCCCTCCAAAATGGTGACAACCTTGGACAAAATCCCAGTCACCCTCTCCTAGTTACAGGAGGTAAATGCTTTGACCATCCATGTGACAAATGGATGGGTGGTAGAGTCAGGTATGCTGAGTGGGAAGTCTAAGCAGTTTCTTGTTCCCCAATTCCAGCCAATCACCTCACAATAATAATAACAATAATAGAAATCATTTATATAGTATTTTATTATCTCATTGGAGCCTCAACACCCTTGTGAGGCAGGTTCTACAGGTATTATCCCCGTTTTACAGGTGAGAAAAGTGAGGCTCCGAGAAGCTTGCCCACAGTCACATAGAGAGTGAGTGTCCCAAAAGGGTTTTGTACTCTGGTCTCTCCTGACTCTAGTCCAGTGCTCTTTCTGCCTCAGAAAATGAGCTGGCCCTCCACACCAGCTCCAGGCATGACTTTATAGCTAGACAGCACCATGGATAGAGGACAAGGCCTGAAGGTGGCAGAAAGGCAAGCCCAAATTCTGCCAGAGACACTACCAAGTTGGGTGACCTTGGGCAGGTCACTTTACCTCAAACCAGCCTCACTTTGTCATCTGTAAAATGAGGAGGCTGAGCCTGTGAGCTGGAAATGTGGGATCCTCTGACCCTCTGACCTTTACAATCTGCCCCTACCAGCCTCTCTCCCACTCTGTGATCTCATCCAAGAGCATGTTGGTGCCAGAAATCAGCAGAAGCAGCCTGGGCACCAACTGTTTCTCAAGGCATCCCCATGTTGGGGGAAGGAGCTCTTTAATTCTTCATCCCAGCCCCCCCATCTCTCTCATCCTCATGGGATGTTCTGTGTGGAAATTAGTCCTGACTTCTTGTTGTCCCTCCCTCCCTCCCTCCCTTCCTTTTCTTCTTCCTTTTTTTTTTGGCTTTCTTTGTAGCCACAGCACTTAGCCCAGTGCCTGGCACACGGGAAATGCTTAATAAATGCTTGCTGACTAACTGATAAAAAGGATACTTGGATAAAAAAATCAATAAAAAAGAAGAAAAGGGAGCAGAGGAAAGTAAGGGAAAGGGAGTCAAGGGAAGGGAGACAAAGAAGAAAGTGGGGAAAGGAAGAGACAAAAGGCAGCCCTGAAACTCTCATGACACATGAGTCACTCTTATAAGTGACTCTGGGTTCAATGTGGAGAATTCTTTCACTCATTTGATTTCCAACCCCCATCCAGGAACCTGAGACAATTACACCCTCACTATACAGAGACCAGCTCCCCAGCTGCAAACACATGGCTCATGACATTACAGAGGAAAGCTTTATTAAAAGAAGGAGGAAACAACACAGGCCCTCCCCTGGCTAAGCAACCATCACTTTAGTAATAATTCATGAGTCTGTGAGTTCATCATTATGAGTATTCTCCAAACCAAAGTCAGTCACAATCCCTCCATAACCTAGGAGATGGTCTTTGAGAGTTCCTGTGGCCAAAAAAATGCATCCCCTTTACCAATGAAATCTTAAGTCTGATCCAAGAGGGAAAAGAGGAGAAGGAAGGAAGGATGGAAGGAAAGGAGGGAGGGAGGGAGGGAAGGAAGGAAGAAAGGAAGGAAGGAAGGAAGGAAGGAAGGAAGGAAGGAAGGAAGGAAG